TCTCTGGAAACACCCCAAAGCAGAGAGCTGCGGCCCAGAGTTCTCCGCGCGGTAGTCAAATCACCTCAGAATGGAATCGCATTCCAGGCACGTTGCAGATTAACCAAAAAATGCTAAAGGAATAATGAAAAAAGAACCAAAAGACATTCAAATGAAATGAAAAAGCAATCACAGAAGCAACAACAACAACAACCACAACAATCAAGTGCTCGCTGGGCACGGTCCAAGAGGTGTTGAGGTGACCACGACACCGCGACCAGGTGAACAACCCGTCTGTCGACCGTCGATTGCCTTTTGGGAGCTCTTTGGTTTTTGTTTTTACAGCTATTTACTTGTGTGCGCCCCAGCCCCAGCCCTAACTCTCGCTCTCCCCCTCTCCACTTTGGATGTTTCGCTTGTTTGCTTTGTGCTCGGCCGGGCACCTGTTTGTTTTTGTTTTTGCTTTTGCTTTTGCTTTTGTGTTCCAACATGCTGTCGAGATCTCTAATTATATTTGCCTCTGTGTTCCTCTGTTTGTGTAAACAAAGAAAGTTTGAACCCAAAAACAACAAAATACGCAAGCACCAAATTACAGTGCACGTCAATACAAAATGTCTTAATTATTGTGGGGCTACCGGTTGAGCCAACGGACACGGTAAAAGTGTGAAAATTATGGCCTCTTTGGAGAGGAACATCTGATTGCAATATTGTTGGCTACTGCCATTCGTTCCATATATTTCTTTAAAACAAAGCAAAGTTCTTCTGCTTTTCTTTCCTTGTTAAATTCCTTCTTTTTGGATTTATTTTTGCAACACTCCCTGAATATTTACCGTTTCATGTTTCATAATTTTGCTAATTTCGTTTGTTTGCTTTGATGGCTGTTATGTAAAGTTAATGGGCCCCGCCATGAGGCATTAGGCATGATGCTGGTAGCGGGTAGCCGTGACTTTTTCGTCTGTTTCCATCATCGTGTCGCATCATGGTAGGATCCAACATCGTCATCGAATCACTTTCACTGTCACTGCGAGGGGGGAGCCCTCGAGGCTGATGCTTTTGTGTGTGTTGTTTGGATTGTTTGTTTTTGTAGTTTCTGCCATGCATGTAGATATCAGCATTGAATGAATGAACGAATAGGTACAATAAATGTTTATTTTTGTTCGAAATTATTCGTAGTATTCGGAGTTACCCGTAACTCCTTTCGCCTATTTTGTATGACAATGCTGAAAACGGCTGGAATCAAATTATTTTCCATTCAATTTCTGATATCTGCGTATCGAGGCTATCCGAAAAGAAACTCCCCCCGGACCCTGGCAGCCACAAACAAAAAGCAAATGGAAACAAAACAGAATTTACTTTGCACAGCAGTTGCATTCAGATAAGATATGCAATAATATTATTTTTAGCACCCATGGGTATTGGGTTCAATATTTGCTGAACAGAAATGCGAACAATAATTTCCTCTCCCTCTATGTTGTTATCTGAAATGTCTGTAAATGAAATGCATTCGCAATTAAGTTGAAATATGCCTACACGTGGCCCATCAGACCATCAGATAGCAGGCTCCAGTGTGCCTGTTTTGGTCCCGTTGCCCTTTTGATATCAACCGAGGCTGCCCGCTATCGAAAGTGCTTTCGTTTCGTGGAACTTCGACTAATTGAAGCAGTCAGTCAGTGGACTCCCTCCCTGATTGATGTGACAGCTACAATATCAGTTTTAAGCGATAAGCGGCTCGATAAGTCCCGAAATATTAATCAGTTTTGCTGGGCTTTGGGGAATGTGTTCCGAGAATAGGAAATGGAAATGGAAATGGAAGTCCAATTTATGGCTGTAATCTGTGTTTATATATTTTGAGCTTAAGGCGGTGTTTCTTATGGCTTGTTGGCCTCTCAGAAACTGATCTTAATCGCTTGTCAAAGGCTGCAAGCACCCAGTGCCAGTGCCAGTACGAGTACGAGTACGAGTGTGTTGCAATATTCGCGCTCTCCCCAAAGCGTGTTTAGATACGAGTACCAGTTGCAGTTCCAGCTCTGTCTCTGTCTCTGCTGTGGGTAGAGATACGCACAGCCAACCCCACACAACCCACACACAGAGGCTGCTATGCTCAAGATACAGATACAGGGAGAGTGAGAGCAGCAGCAGCAGCAGCAGCAACTACTCCTCGAGGCCAGCGTCGTGCCTGGGTCTGGCCTGCAACTTTTACAATCGGAGCTAATTAGCAAATTCATGCTAATTTTGGAGTTGTAACAAATAAAATTACAGCGCACCTCGCACGTGTCGCGCTTTATGTAATTAGTTGCAACATGTTGCCAGAAGTATGAGCTTCTTTCTGCCATCCACCGAGATAAAGAGATAAGCACTCGAAAGAGTCCTGCCTCCTCGTTACGAGTGATGATACAACAAAAGTTATGTCCCATGGGAACACGCTTTGAGAATGCTGGAACCACTGGCAAACATTCGCATAATTCATAATGAAGATGTTGTAGAGAGTGATCGCTCCAGACAGCGATGGATGGTAGGGCCTCTGCCCAGTCTAGGTCTCGTTTATCATAATGCAAAAAAGGGAATCGTCCTCTGAGGGCAGGCAGAGGCCCCGTGCAGCACTGCATTCATGGGAGATGTCCGCGGGACACGATCTGCGGCCAGTGTGTGCATTTCTCGTGTCACGGCTGCACATGCACATCTATGGGCAGCTACTGAAAGCTTGGACTTGCGGGGCCTAAAATCGATTTGAGTTATTGATTGTAATGACTCCTTGGGCCCCATCCTTCAGCCGTTCATCCTTTTGCTCCCTTGCAGCCTCAGGCGGACTGGGTTTCTGGTCTATCTTCTCGGCCTTCTCGGTTGTGTGATTAATTTTTGTGTCGAGTCAGGTTTGGGGCCTGCCCCTGTGCTGCCTCTGCCGATGCCTTTTGTGATTTGAAAAATTAGTGCAAGCTGCAAATGATCATAAATCAAACAGTTTTGTTGATTGCATTCGAAGTGCCCACAAATTGCATGATTTTGCAGTTTCTGGACTCTCTGCCACAGCCAGCCACTGTGGGGCAGCTGGAACGTTGCAGTTTGCATTCCCCGGATGCTGCTGACACACGACGACAGACAACAGACATTGGACACTGGACATCGAACATCGATTCCTTGTCCTTTGTCCAACACGACAGAAGATATTCCGCCTCTTGGTAGTTCCGCAAATAACTAGAATTGTTCTTCTCTTACGCGAAAACAACTGGCAGCACGAAGCAAGAGCTGGCATTTTTACGAGTATCTCCTTTTCATTCCTGCCTGAAATTTTATTGTTTTGTAATTAAATTTCAAAGGCACACAAAAAGGAAAATGCGAGGGGTAAAGGCACGGTTTTGGCTGTCTAAGTCCCCAGCTACCGCCTGGAAAGATGACGTCTTGGCGGCTGTGGCCGATAACTGGTTTTCCCCGCTATGTAAATGAAGTATCTGCGACTTGAGCTACTACAACAGCACGAGTCTAGAGCCAAAGAGGGGCCAGGCATCGCGTGTGTGCGACCTTCGCTCATTCCCGATGATTATGATGATGATGGACACAGCCACAGACAGAACAAAAAACCAAATAAACATTGAACAATTGCACACAAAATGAAAACCAACTTAGCCTCGACCAAAGGCAGAGTCAGAGCCCAACTCCATGACGTAATCCACTCTCGAGGCGTCCACTCTCTACTCCCGAGTGAGCAATCGGCAAGAGCGTCTCGATCATTAGCAAATAATTTACGCCATTAATTTGAGGGCTAACAAACGTTGGCGGAACCTTTAGGCCAGTAATTTGTAATACGATGGGATGGGATCGTTCTGCGGCAATCGGCTTAAAGCTTACTTAGGCACAACATCATTTACTTTAATGAACTCCCATCGATGCTGGGCCACTGCCCCTGCCGGGTGGTCTCTGGTCTCTCTATGGTCTGTAAGTAGATCTCTCTCTCTCCCTCTCTGCGTGTGTGAGCTGCAGTCGCTGTGCAGCTGGGCGCATCGCTAATTAGTGTTGCCATTTCAATTAGTACCCCCAGAGATGTGTGCCCCAGATGGGTGTCACATGGAGAGCCAAACACCCGTGCTATGTCATGCGATTGCAGGTCTCTGATAGTGCGTTCGACACTACCTGTCCACGTGGTACCTTGAAGTATCGTTGGCCAACAGCCAACAGCCAACACCCAACCGGTTCCAATCGCCAGAGCGTGCTGCCTCGGGTGGCCAGAGGGCAAAGAGAGGGAAAAATATGCGATAATGCCAGTATGTGGGCGTTTGAATTGAACCCCAGAGAAAGCCAGTCAAGAGGGGAGGAGTCAGCAAAGTGCCAGCAGGGAGACAGAGACTCCAATGGGACACTAAAACATATTGATTGGGGTCTCTGTGTCTCCCACAAAATGGTTTTGCAGAACGTTGAGGAATCTTGTAAACGTGTAAGGGGGACAGCAGTCACTGGCTGACTTTTGCAAACATTGTTGGAGGGGATTCAAATTGGTCAGCCCGACATGTTAATCATGTTGAGGGCGAATCAGTGTTGATTAGCGTGGAAAGCGCCTTGGAGCTAGATCATTAAACTGGGGGAACGGAACGGACACATTTGATGTGCAAACAATTAACAATAGCATCGGGCGAACAGACAGACGCCCACACTTAGTGTGGAAAATGAAATCATTAAACATTAATAATCGCATTAAGTGTTTTAATTAACAGTCGGAAGCGCCTTTTCAAAGGTGTTTTGCTTTAATTTGGCATAAAACAGAATTCTCATTTCGCCATAATTCGCAGCATTCGAGAGAAAGTTCACCCTTGGCCGCAAACGGGAAGTTTTCCATGTGGCAGCCATATGGAGGAGCGAGTGCCATAAATTAGTTGTGCCGCTTACAGCAGTAATTAAGTGCCTGAAAATATGATTTATATTTATATTTATATTTCTATTTATTTGCATTATCTGCCTTGCTATCTGCTGATATAAGTTATCGCTTGGACTAACTCCATTCTCCATTTTGCATTTTGCATTTTGCATTGCAGCTTTTGGTCACGCTTCGTTGAAAGGAAACTCGAGAAGACTGCGCAAAAGTGCATGTGGAGGTGAGTTCAGTTCCCTCTACCCCTCTACCCCTTACCCCTCGCTACAAATTTTCAATGTCAATTTGTAGCTGGAATTTATGATTTCCATTGTTTTGTCTCTTGATTTTTGTTGTTATTTGTGTTGGGTTTGTGTCCTGCCAAATATGGCCAACAATTTCACTGAACGTCCACTACTTTTGCTACTTTTGCAGTCAAACAAACTGCTTGCTGGGTTCGACATTGCTTGTGCTTCCCTTGCAGAGGGTGCCTGCCCTTTATCCATCAGTCGAACAACGAGTAGGGTCTATCCCAGGGTATCCCCAACTTCGTTGCCTCAAGCCAGACAGTTTCTTTGTTGTTTTCCTTTTTTCGTTGGCCTCGTTATTGTGCCAAATGGCCATAAAAGGTTAATTGGGTCCTTAGCAACTGTTGGGCTGCAACAAATAATGCAAACATTCCACGGGCTCTTGGACTGGAGACTGGGGACTTGCGACTGGCGACATGCGACATAGAAAAATCTTAATTAGTTAATTAAAACAACAAACAAAGTGCAGTGCAGCGGTCCCAAGACGCCAAACAGAACTGGTTCCTCTGCTGCAGCTCTGGGCCTGGCTGGCACTCTTCTACGGGCAAGTATTAGCCAAGGTCTGTGCCGTGTCTGTGTCCTGCAAGTAGTTCACTTGGGCTACTGCATAATTCATTCGCTTTTAATGACAACACGAGGATGGAGGCGTGGATGTGGCTGTTGGCTGTTGGCTGGTAGCTGTTGTTGCATGCAGCATGGACCATGATGGTGATAGAGACGCGTTGTCTGGCCCTTACCAAACCCATCCCATAGATCCTCTCTGGATTCTCTGTGTTTTTCCCCCTTTTGTGTGGTTTTTTGTGTGTGTTGTGAGTCTCCTCAGACCTCTTTCAAATCCCTCGAGGTGGCATTAAACTATGAAAGGCATTTAGTTAAGCGATTTATATAGGCGACCTTTTGACAGTTTTATGTCCAGGTTCCCCGCCAACGATAACGAGCACAAATGTATCTGCTGCTGCTTTTCCTTCATTAAATGGAGCGGCAAATGTATCTCTGTCTGCACGCGTACGTTCGTTATCCTTTGGCATCATCGATGCAATTGCCTGGCTGCGATTTATTTGCTTTTAAGCAGTTTGTAATTGCCAATATATCTGACGGGGGACACGGAATGGCATGGCAGACGAGCGACAGGGCACCCGAACTCCGCTGGGGAATCGGAATTGAAAATTGAAAATTGAAAATCGAAAATTCCTCCTTAACGAGAGAATCAAATTAAATCCACTCAGACCTTGAGGCACTATTTCTGTATGTAATCGGGTCCTGCCACATTTGAAATGCTCTCAAATTAGTTCCTTCGAATATCATTTATTTATTTATATTTCTACAGCAATTCAAAGCTTTTCGCCTTCGCTTGACCTTTTTCTGGGCCGCCTGCAGAGCCTTGCAAATGGCTGGAAAAAGGGTTCCCAATTATATTTTATGTTTCCACTTGCACGCCTGCCGCAACCACAAGCTGCCCCGCAAATGTGGGACATGCTCCGAGCTCCGAGCCCTGATATAAAGAAATGACCAACAGCCATTCGATATTAGATATTAGATATTAGATGGGAGCACGACGGGGACGGGCAAAATGAAACCATTTTTGTCATTTGACAGGCAATTTTCAAGCGTAACATTTTTCGATATTTTCTGGCCTTCCGCCTCCCCCCCCACGCTCCGTTATTATCTTGCCCCGGAAAACGGGCGAGAAATAAAATATATGTCCTGTCCGACAGCGGCTGACCCCCAAAACAAAACAAAACAAAACAAAAGGAAAAACTGTATCTAAAATCTAACGATGATAGTTTATAGGGCTAAAAGCGATTTTCCCGCTCTGTTCATGTGGCTAAATCCGTTGCCATTTCACTCCTGCTTCATGCCTGTCGCACAAAACATTTTTGGCCCTATTCCTGCTTCGTGCCGCTGCTGTTTCCGGGGAATATTTAATCGAGCTGCCCTGCCACATTGTAGTAGATTGAGTGCATTACCAAATCCAGCCAGCCAGCCGCTGGGCTCCACGAAATTCTCTTCTATCATTTGATTAAATCTAAATCTGTTTACGAGCCGCAGTTTTCCCTCCACATGTTCCTTTTTCTACCTTTTCATACCAATGGAAAGTAATAAATTAATTTTTCCATCTCTCTCTCCCTCTCTCTCTCTGTGTGTGTGTGTATTTTGTTTGCTTTTGTTAAACCTGAACCAACAAAATTAACGCTGATAACTTTTGAGTGCGGCCCAAATCCTTTGGAATAGTTTCGCAAACAGTTTTGTGGCAACTCCGATTGTTGCGGTACAGCAAAATGGCTCGAACAAGAGAGTTGCCGGGTGGCATACTCTTCCCAAATGCTCTGGCAACTTTCATTAGTTTGCTCTGATGACAAAGATAGCCAATAACCATGTTCATTAGCATTTACAAGGCAGCTTCTGCTTGCATCTCTGTGTACTTATTTGGTATCTTTTGTGGTGCAAATATTCAAGTCGAACTTCTGTATTTCTCCGCTGGAATGGATAGCCCACAAGTCGAATCCTTTTTCCCCTTGAAGGAGAAAACTCCTTAACGAAAATGTTTCGCTCAGTTTGTTGAAAATTAGTTGCCTATTCAATTTGGCCGCACAAAAGTTGATGGGCAAACGGCCAAACATTGCCAACAGGCAATGGCAGGGTCTGGTCTGGTGTCTGGATTGAGTAAAAAGCGGCAAAAATGCATTTACCCATGCAGTCGGTCGAGGAGGAGGAAAGCGAAACTCAAACAAAGGTGGAAAAATCACAAATCCACTCTGTGGCGGTGGAGGGTCTCCGCTGCCCATCCGATCGAAGGCTCAATCCGGTCCGGTTCCGTCCGTTTCAGTCGGGTTGAAAAATGGCCAGCAATGGAAATGGAAATGGTCGGAAAAGAGTGGGAAAGCAGGTGAACAACTGATTTCCCAGCGGCTCATTTGTAGTTTTATTCGTTCGATTCCTTTGGGTCTCTCGGTACTCGTTTGACCCTCAAATTAGTTTGCGGCCCCTCCGCTTTGCATAAGACAGCGGCCAGAGACCTGACCTTGTTTCCATGCGTTGTTGGCCCACAGCAAAAACCAAGTGCAAGGTCAGCAAAGAGAGAGAGAGAGAGAGAGAGCAGAGAGAGAGAGAGGGCAGAAGCAAGGCGGAAGCAGAATCTCTCTCTGGGGAATTTAGATTACGTTTCGTCTGAAATTTGTTGTGTGGATTTTCTGCTGCTGTGTTTTTGTTTGCTCTTTGGGCTGGGCCCAACGAGTTTGGCCAGTTTCTTGGGACAGTTTGCGGACTGAATTAGCCAGCAGAAAATCTTGGCCAAGTTTTTGACAAGTTTGTCGGCCACAAAGGAAACGATTTGTGGCTGCCGCCGTAGTCGTCGTAGATTATCATCTCAAGAGAGCAAATAATGAAATGAGCAACAAAAAAGAAGGCCAAACAGACTACAGATTTGATTTGAATTTGATTTTGATTTTGTCTTAATGATCGCATGGCATGGGCTTCGGTTTATTCAACCGAATGATAACTGATGGCTGATGGCTGATGGCTTTCCATTCCATTCTAATTATCCCAGCTGTCATGTGGCTGGTGTGGCTCCAGCAGATCCTGTTTTCCCACGAGAGAGTTATGCCTGGAAAAGTCATTTAATTACATTTTCCTCCTCCGTGCCTCCATCGTGCTTCGAAAATCATTTCTGCCGCTGAAAGGCTTTTTGTCAAATTGAAAGCCATCAAAAATGCGTGGCATGCTTCCAATTGTCGGTCGCTCGCTGGCCGCCTCAGAGATGGGGCAGGCAGATGCCCAGATGCTGCTGGGATCCGCTGGGAAACTGGTCTTTGTACGTGGACTGGTTCGGACTGGATGGCAAATTAACAGTTAAGCGCCAACGGTAAATAATTGTCAAAGACAACATCCCATCGATGCTGCTGCTGCTGCCAGTCGCGGTTGCCTGCTGCCTGCTCTCGTGATGCACCCGAGGATGAGGCTGAGGCTGAAGATGAAGTCGCGCCATCGCAAATGAGGTTTGACTGGTTTCGCCGTGACATGAACCAAATGCCCAAAAGGAGTCTTTGCCAGCCAGCCATCCATTCAGAGTCAGAGTCAGAGTCAGAGTCAGAGTTAGCCAAGTACAGTGAGCACTGGCCGTGAAGGAAGGCGGCAGAGAGCTGCGACTGTGAGTGCAGAGACAACTTTGGGGAGAACTTCTTCAGACACCGAAATCGAAGTTGAAATTCAATTAAAATGATTAAAGGTTTCCCCTTTGGTTTCCCAAGCCACGATTCGCACTGTAGCAGCCACGGAGGAAGACCTGTCTGTGCGTCTGTCTTTTCGCTCCACTTCGTTGCACTCCCCCTCCAATCCACTCTCCACTCTCCGGCGTGCTTCGGTCTGTTCTGTTTCTTAGACTGGTAATTCTAGTCGCCTTGGCAACTTCTCTCTCTTCTCTCTGCTGGCTTTTGGCTACTGCCGTTGGCGGATGTGCAAATATTTTGATTAAATTTTCTCCTCCCCAATCTGCGTGGCAACTTTCTTTGCACGAACCAAAGGCTGTGGCAGCTTCACTGGCATCCATCTCTCAGTTCTGGTTGTGCTTCTTCGGGGGTTTCGCTATGTTCCCAGGTGGCATCTGTGTGAGGTATGGACTGGACTTGACCCGTGGCTAAGACTTTCGGTTATCCCCCGAAAAATGATGAACAAAAGTTCCGCGCAGAGCAGAAGAACTTCATTAGCACAGAGCACAGAGCACAGAACGCATTAGCGGTTGGAAAACTTTTCCATTTTGCCGGAAAATGAATATTAAACGGGGACTCCGCCCTGCACTCTGCTGGCTCTGCCTGTGCCTTCGTTTTAATAACTGTGGATTAAGTCTGCATAACTAATAATGATTATAAACTGTGCGAAAATGCACATCCCTTCCCTTTCCTTTCCTTTCCTTTCCTTTCCTTTCCCCATCCGTAAACTTTTTGCACACGAAAATGACAAATGATCGCCAAGGAAAAGTATTCTGGCAGGGAAGCCGCGACAATAAAGTTTTCCCTCCTTTTGCTATGCGTAATGTGACTGCTTTTCCTTGGAGTTTGGGCATGGATTGGGTTTCCCTCGAAGTTCTTTCGCGTTTCGTCAAGTGTGGCTCGAAAGTTCTGGGCAATTATTTCGCTGGTTAATGGAGACACAAGACACAGCGATGCCAGAAGGTAATTTCCAAGCAGGAAGTCTCCCGACTGATTCCGACTGTTATTCAATTTAATTGTATCTTATCTGCAAAGCAAAGCAAAGCAAAGGAAAGGAACCACTAGGAAAAGACGCACAAATTGCTCGACTGGCTGTCCGCTTATCAGTCAATTAGCCAGGCGATAAGACGCTACAAGGCCCACAAAACCCATGCGAATGAGCAGGTAATGAGAAGACAGAGGGAGAGAGAGAATGGCTGTCAAGACAAGTAGCCCCTCGGGCGGGTCTGGCTGTCATCGTAACAATGGCAACCACTTATCACCGTCACCCATCTCCGAGTCGCTCTTTTTGCTCTGTTTCTGCTTCTGCTTCTGCTGTTGTTTGTTTTTATCGCTCGCAAACTACACACACAAACCAAATTTCCATCTGTGCCCAAAACTAAACCGCATCTCATTAAGGGAAACATTCCCAATCGGTGATAACAGCAGCAGCAGCAGCAGGGAAAACCCTAAACCCCCGACCGAAATATGTTTCAAAATATGCTGCAAATGGAGCAGCATATCGCTGGAAGTCATTAAGGGGAATGTCACCCACAAAGAACTATCTTTTAATTGGGTTTCAACTGAAGATAAGTCTCATTTTGGTGTTATCTTTGCCTTGAGGTACATTTCGTTGGAGAGTCTTCCGCTGGTCGCATAGTTCTCCCCACAGCATGCCCTTATCGCAGTGCTGCAGCATTTTGCAGCAATTAAATGCCAATTTAGAGAGTTGAGCATGTCCCCCTAACCATTAAATATTATGATATCCATGGCCGCATGGCCACCCGCGAGCCCACAGCCATAAAAGCAAACATTGCGCATACGCCGCGTGCACCGCAGTCAAACCAATGCGGGAGATACCCATGGCGGTGGGAGAGTAGGGGTCCATAAATGTCCTTGCATTGCAATCAATCAATTATCTATGGGAGAATATCTTAACGTACGCTTGCAGTTCATGCATTAGATTCTGTTTCTGCCACTCGTGTGCATCGATGGGGTTCCATTTCCATTTCTTCCATGTTTCCCTCTGGTGCTGTGCCTTTTTTTTGTTGGCAATTGATAAACTATTGTGCTGCCCTGTGTGTGCCCTTTGATTAGCATTCATCCGATCCATAAACATGCATAAAAATAAACGATGAAACACGGCAATTATCGTAGTGGCAATGGCTCTGTGGGGCTCCTATGGCTGTTGTCGGTGCGGTCCGTAAACCGCAATTGAGATTGTCAACATTTGGTGGGCGGGAACACCTCACTTCCACTTGCACTCCCGCTGCCAGTCGCCCCATAATTGCTCTATTTTGCCAGGGCAAACTTTAGTTATGTGAGTTGCTGTTTTTACAGCTGACTGAGGACATGACAAGCGAGTGCGAGTGTGAGTCGCTCCATCTCTCTCTGCTCTCTCGCTCTCTCTCTCTTTTGTATTCAATTTATAAGCGCATGCAGCGGAAATAGCTCCAGCAGCGCGGGGGCATGGCACTTGAACCCAACGAGCCATAACAAAAGGCACACGAAGTAATTAACTTGTATTTATTGTATTCGCATAGTTGGCCCCCAAAGGGAGGGAGGAAGGAGGCAGCTGGCAGGGGCATGGCGAGCAGAACTCTCATCAGAGTGCCATGAAGAGATTCCTCTGAAGAGAGCAATACCCAGGCGGGTAGCCGTAGCCCCTGCTGCCCCATCTAATTGATAAGTCCAGAGTTGGATTGCCGGCTCTCGGCCTGCATGTGCACCCAATTACGAGTGGGGAGCAGTGCCCTCTGGCCCATGTTTATTGGTTTTCATTCTCCCCTCAATAGACTCCACCCGAGGGCAGTTCCTGCCCCAAATCGGGTGGGGGGGGAGTCGCGAATTTAAAAGTGAATTTGAAGGAAGAACCTTTTCCTTTTGCTTCTTTGATTTATGATGGAAGATTGTGTGTTGGCTTGGGCTGGGCTTACGAAATGCCTCAGAATGAAATGTAATCTCTGCGGGAAATGCCAGACTTTTCCCAGGATTATGACCGAACCACAGAACGAACCACACGAACAGAACCCAACTCTGGGCGGTGGACAGTCCAGGCCGCTAATTGGATTAGCATCGAAGGGTATTCAACTGCGGTTAGCCGCGGAAGGTGCAGGGTAAACCGCACAATTTCTTGCTGCTGCCCCGCACACTCCATCTGCAAGACACGCAACTCCACTTCTGCCTTGGAATCAGATGTTCTGGTATGGTTTATGGTCTCGCCTCTCTCTCTCCTCTCTCTCTCCTCGCTGCTGCACTTGGGGGCCAAAGCCAGAGCCAAGTGGCGTGTCCATGTCATTTACCTGGCAGCCACTCAAGTGGTTGCAGGGGAAGAGGAGTGCAGAGTGCAGAGTGGAGAGTGGAGAGTATCTCTAGGCATTGGAGAGTACAAAGGTCTGATGCGGTTTTTGCTGCAATTATATAATATTGACATTAGTTGCATGTTGCCTGTCGCTTTATGTTTGTTGCTGCCTCTGGCTCTGGCTCTGGCTCTGTCTCTGCCTTTGCCGGAGATGGCCGAGAAGAAGGCAAAGAGCTTCCTCCAAGCTTAATTACAGACAGTGCAGCGGGCATGGGGCATGCGGCAGGTGGCAACAACAGAGATCTAAAATCAATATTATTCTTAATGGCTCAATTATTTGATTTGCGTTTCAATTTAATGGCTTAGTGCCTCCAATTAATTGCAGTTCTTCCTCCGTTCTTCTGTAACTTATTTTCCCTCTCGCTTTGTGCCTCTCCTCCACACAGGTAAGGACACACAGGAGCCGCAGTTCTTCCCACAACTTTGAAGATTGTCCACACATATCCAGCAGAAATCAGACTGCAGACTGCAAACGGAAAATTATATTTTGATATCTTCCAGAGGAGAGACAACAACATATCAGAGACAAGAGGGAACTGGACATATCCTCGAACATCATCAATCATTGCTGGGCATTGATTAATGTTGCGTATACGCCATGTGCGACTCGTAACCAAGTGAAAGCCACGCACCACGCACTCCTCAGAGAGAGAAAGAGAGAGAGAGATTTAGTGTATCCGCCAGCAGCACCTTTTCAAGCTCAGCAAATACAGCAAATACAGCAAACAGCACAAACACAAAGCCAAAGCCAAAGCCAAAGATGGCCTTCATTTGGCGTCGTCGCTCCACGACCATCGTGAAGCTGGTGGCCTTCCTTCTGGCCATCTGGTTCTGCATCGCCTTCCTCGTCTACACGGATGACACGAGGCGACGTGCCGCACAGGAGGGTGGCGCCTCGGGCAGTGCCGCAGGCGGTGGAGCCGTTCCGCTCGGGGATCCCGTTGCCCTGCCCCTGAGGAACGTAGAGGCTGCGGATCCACTCAACGAGGACATCGGTCTCAATGGCAATGTTATCAATGCAGGAGGAGCAGGCGGAGGGCTACGCAACGAACTGGATGAGGCGGACATACCGCCCACCGCTGCCAAGGCCAGGCCAAAGGACCTCGGCCGCCTGTCCTCGGAGAAGAAGCCCCGCAAGAAGGCTGCCATTCCACTCAAACCAAAGGCACAAGACGGTGAGCGCTCTTCTCTTTTGTTTTCCATTTATAATTAAACTGATTTAAGGCAAGAGCTGCCCCCGAGCGAGCCTTGGCCTTGGAGATTGCTCCATAAAAGGAGAGCTCCAAGCTTAGCTCCAAGAGCTAATTGGAAGCAGTCCCACTGCCAGCCAGCCAATCCCTTTGCCATCGCATGAAACTAATCAATTCTTTTCTCTGCAAATTAGTTCTCTCTATGGGAAAAGTTTTCCTTTTTCTTCTCGTACTCCATTTCCGTTTCATTTGCTGGCTGGCTGGCTGGCAATCTTCCCCAAGATTACTTTCCCATTTTCCCAGCGATTGAGCATCCTTTTTGCCTTTTTGCCTCGCTCCTTGGCGTGCTCCTTTTGTTGCTTGCTGTGCGCCGAACAATAAGCATTTATATTGAAATCAGTTGCACATTTATTTCCATTCCGGAACCCGCACAAATGGAAGCACACCGCTGGGTTCTTGCTCCCTGTTTATCGTTGCTGGGAAATCTCTTTCTTGCTCTTGTCCCTGGACGCTTTGCACTTCATTTCCACGCAATCGCTTGCAACTAATTCCCATCAATTCAATGCACACACACACACATCCTTCTGGGGCGAATGCATTTTGGGTCACCAGCAGCAGCAGCTGGCCGAAGAAGCCGAAACCGAAACCGAACCTGATACCATCCAAATGGAGGATAATGGCACATGCATATGGGTATGGGGGCAGCCTCCCCTCTGACAAAAAAACTTGCTGCTGCTGCTGCTGCTGCTGCTGTCACACTTCCTCGTTTTTCTCTGGTGGCCGCCACCGCCTTTGTGCCTTCAAGAAAATTTCTAACAAGTTTTACAACAATGTCGAAGATGCCAGCGGCAAATACTAACAACCCGAACAACCCGAACGCTGCAGCAACATTTGCAACTGCAACGGCAACTGCAACAACAACAGCACGAGCACGAGCACTTAACAACTTGGAATTGCTGCCAAACAACATTTTCAATGTCAGGCGAGTGCACAGGGATAGAAAGACATAGACAGACAGACAGACAGACAGACGGGCATTCTCGCATTCAACTTTTGGGCGGGGAGGAAGCACCGACTAATGAGGCTGTCAGCAGCGACTAAGAGATACCCTTTAGCCGCTTTGGATTCCATATTCCATACAAAATATTTAACCACAAGTGAAACTTGAGTCTGCGTTAGTTTTACTTGCTAATCAAGTCAAGAGAGGGAGCAGCAGCAGCAGCAGCAGCAGCAAGTGGAGAGTGGAGACAGACAGATGCAGAGCCAGCGACCGACACTAGTTCCTGGCCATGGGATAGATTTTTACTCAATGGACACTTGACTGGTGGCTCGGCTCTCTGCCCGGGCAAATCAATGAAGCCCGTCTGGGGCCTCCGGCCAGGCATGACTCGAGCAGGGCAGAGGGAGGAATAGACAGAGCTCGCTTGTAGCTTCCTGCTGCATGTGTGTGTGCACGCCCTCCTGCTCCATCCGCCATCTATTGGCCCTCGCATGTGGAAGAAGCATTTAAGATTGCATCAGCATGTGGTCGACTGACCATCAGTCGACAGACACAGGTACATGGGGCATGGGAGCAGGGAGCATGGCGCAAGATCTACAACATCCAAGTTTCTCCCTCCCCAGGCCAGGCACAGTGGCGGGAGGGACAATGCACGTATTTGCAATTTCGCATATCATGTTTGCATCTCTCGCTCGCTCTCTGCGCTCTCTGCTCGCCTCCATCGTCATAATCATCGTTGAGGTGGCAAAGCTACAAGTTGGATCCTTTGCAGCTCCAGCAGCAGCTGCCCCATGGCGTCAAAATTGTGTGCAAGCCAACAAACGTTTACCAACACTCGGCGGGGATCCAGGCAGGATCCACAGATCCACAGTGGTTCTGCGGCTATAAAACTATCAAATTCACCCATGCAAAATCTCTTTTTCGGTTTGGTCTTTCCTTTGTGCTGCAAATTACTTTTTCCTAGACAAGAGTTTATTTTTTGTACACGCAGAATTCTGCTATACTTTTTATGGCACATCCCAAATCCAAGACTCGACGTTTTATGGTCCACTCGATGGGGTGCCCTGCGATCTTCGGCAGTCCTCTAGTCTTCGATCTGTGTGCCTGTGTGCCTGTGCCCCTGGCTGGGGCCACGTTGTTCATAGCTGGTAATTAGTGTTGTTGTACTTATTGGCTTTGGCCTTGGGGGCGCGTTACCAGCACCAGCACCAGCACCAAAAGATGCAACAACGAGACGCGCGAGAGCGTCGTGGTACCAACACGACGTTTATCGCGCGTTCGCATCGAGTTCCTTAGGGTCCAACTCCTCGACTGGCCAGGCCAACCCATCCCACCAGCAAACCAGCCTTCTGGCCATGTTATCTCGATCGTTGGCCCTACTGCCTGGGATACCTTTTCCTGGCCCCTGCCCCCAGACTCGGGCCAGACTCAGGCCAGATCTGCTGCCACATGCATAATTCTCGTTTTTACAATTTAGCAGCAATAATGATTTTATACCATATGCAAGGCAACGTCATAGACACGCCCACCAATGGTCTCCCCCCTTGCTTGCTGCATGCCACAAGCACGGCACAAGAGCAGATTGATTTGCCCTGCCCTCACGTTTCCTTTTTCCGCAGTGCTTTTCCTGTTTTTAATCAATGCTAATCCCAGATCCCCCGCTAATGCTCGCATGTCTCTTGTCATTGCCTTTGCCAAAGGCCGCCCCAAAGGCCGCCCCGCTGCGTGGGGAGCTCACACGTGACTCGCCCTAACCTCATTCGCTGTGCGAAATAACGGTACTTTGGCATATTATGTTACAGTTATGCGCCAAACATGACAAAGGAGAGAGCGGGAGCCAGGCAAAGCCATTTGTCATGCTGCTATCCACCTTCATCCCTCCTCCACCTGCTGCTGCTCCTCCTGCTCTCTCCTTGCCTGCCAATAGCCAAACATTTATAGCTTCCTGTCACGCTCAGGCGTGTCTCCCTCGAGCGCTGCTCTGCGCTGCGATTGTCTTTGCTTGTTCGCTCTCCCCATGCTGCCTCCACCCACCCCATGATGGGGCGAAATGTCACTGGAAATCGCAATGCAGAGCAGGCGGCATTTCGGGTGCCAGCAAATATTCAATTTTAATGGAAATTATCTTCAGTCTAAGAAGAAGGCAAACGGAATAAATTCTCTTGCTGTTGCTGTTGCTGTTGCTGTTGCTGTTTCTGTGTAACCTTTGGCCCCACCTATGCGTGCGCGTGGGCGTGTCCCTAATTGGTTTAGGGACTCCTGCAGGGAGGAACCCAACCCAACAGTGGCCAGTGGCCCATAAATATGAAAACAGTGAATCAATAAAAGACATCAAATCCAGTTCTTTTTTTCTCTCTTTTATGTTCTTGCTGATGATAATGCAAAACCACAACAGCAGCAAAAAGACTGAGAGGGCGGGGAGGAGGCTCCCTCCTCTGTGGCTATTCCGCAATGAAGTTGTTGCCACGGCAACGGGCGACAAATCATAGAATTTATGAGTGAAAACCACCCGCACCGCTCCTTTCCATTTGAGTCCCCGATTTAAGGGGATTTTTTCCATTTTTGTGCGTACAAATTTATTGTCGGCTGATTGGCCAGCTCCATAATGCGGCTAAAAAACACCCAATAGCCATCCCATTCCCCCCACTATCCCTGCCATAGCCCGCCATCCTTTAGCTGCTCTTCCCAGCCTGCTCATTTGCAGCATTTTATGGCTTTTTATTTTCGCCAGAGCTAGCTTTTTGCGCTTATTGAAATTGAAATGATTGTGGTAATTGAAATGTTCTTGCATCGCTGGCTTTCCATGGCGGACGGTCGATGCGCCAGAAATATGTTCCCCGATTGGCACATAAAGAAGAGTTTTGTGAACAGAAAAAGAAAACAGTTCATTGGAGCAAAAGTTGCCCTAATGGCAGCCAACTGAGTTCTGTTTTTATTGAGTTTTAATTGAACAGGTTCTGATTGTGATTATGATAGAGAAAAGGAATGTGGGGGGGACACAGGGAGCTAGATGCCAAAAGATTCCTTTTAGTTCGAGGGTTCGATTTCGTTCCCCGTTCAATCCGTGTAGGGCAAACCCACAAGCTTAGGCAAATGTAATTTCAAGATGGAAATCCAGTTTAATTAAATTGCTGAGTCCTTTAAGCAGGGTCTCGGCGCTGTGTACCTGAAAAATCCATTAGCAGGGAACCCGAGGATAGAGGATAGAGGAAAGGCACACAGACAGGCGATGGCCAATAAGTGTCACTTGTGGCTGACAAATCGCATAAAAAGCAGCAGCAGCAGCAGGATGTGCTCCGAGGAGTTCAAACCCAGTAAGGAGGAGGCGATGACTGAGAACAGGAGAATATTTCATATTTCCATGCAAATGCAAATAACACAATAATAAAATGCACAGCAAGAACCCACACACACACACACAGACACAACTGGGAGCAGTAGTTGGGGGATGGACACACATGAGAAAATGTTGCAGAGGCAAACGATTTTTCATAGCCATGTGAAGGACCCCCCAAAGCCGGAGTAGCTCCTGATGATGGCAACTTTTTATGTGAAATGCACTGCGATTTATCTGAACAGGAAGGGAGTGCTTGTCTCTGTGTGGGTTTATTTTGTCATAAATTTCACGCACAACAGGGCTCCTCTGCAAGCGCATATTTCTGTGGTGCTCATCGTACCTTCACCTGCAATTTGAAGGCAAATCAAATCAGACAGTAAATGCAAACATATTTCTAACGATTCGCTCGGCTTCTCTCTCTCTCTTTGCAGATACGAGACAAGTGATAGATCCTCCTGTAAACTTTGAGGAAAGTTTGGGGGAAATGGGCAAACCCGTCACCCTGCCCAACGTGATATCCGATGAGATGAAGAAGGCCGTGGACGATGGCTGGACGAACAATGCCTTCAACCAGTATGTCTCCGATCTGATATCGGTGCACCGCACTCTGCCGGATCCCCGGGATGCCTGGTGCAAGGATACGGCTCGATATCTCAGCAATCTGCCAGCGACAGACATCATCATCTGCTTCCACAACGAGGCGTGGACCGTGCTGCTGCGCACGGTGCACTCCGTGCTGGACAGATCCCCGGAACACCTCATTGGCAAGATTATCCTCGTGGATGACTACAGCAATATGCGTGAGTATAGCAGCAGCTTGACTCTGTGTGCATGGATCTAAATTGGCTCCCCTTTGCAGCTCATCTCAAGAAGCAGCTGGAGGACTACTTTGCCGCCTATCCCAAGGTGCAGATTGTCAGGGGCCAGAAGCGCGAGGGTCTCATACGCGCACGCCTGCTGGGCGCCTCGTATGCCAAGTCGCCAGTTTTGACTTACTTGGATTCCCATTGCGAGTGCACCGAAGGTGAGAGTTGGCCTAAAACGGGAATGCCTAAAAGTAGGCAGCACACGAGCCACCCCGTAGCTGTAGCATACTTTTGAGAGGCTTTGACATAATTGCATTTTCATAAATAACATTTATTCGGTAACGTTAAATGATTGACAGAGAGCCTCACTCTCTCTCGCTTGAATCCATCGATGATTGAATCTCATGACCTGCCAGCATGGTAATTGGCCCCTCAAATGTGCTCCTAATTGAGTAGCCAGGCCAAAAATGCAGGGCAACATAAATATTTAAATATATGCGGCAGCCAAAAGAGCACAAAAGTAGAATTGAATCCAATTTAAATGCAGAACATTTCATTGCTGTTCTACAAGGCAATTTCGCTATGCGGGAATCCTCCTGGGTGTGGACTCCTCTGGAGCAGTCTCTTTGCTGGTTTATGGTCGAGACGGTCTAACGTTCTGTTTGTAGCATTTTTGATGGCCATCAAACGAAATCCGTTGGGCCGCAATCCGAAAATGATGCCAATAAAACAAGAGGCCCCCGCCGACTCAGAGTCGAGTAAACTTGAACCTCGCCACCACTCGATAAGCTCAATGACTGCCAAGTCACAAGGAGCAAAAGTAACAAAAGGCAATCAATTTAGTTTATTAAGAAAGTTGCAACAAAAGCTGGCGATTGGTTGTCAAAAACAAAACCGTAAGCCGAAAGCCCAAAGCCGAAAGCCCAAAGCGAAGCAATTTCTCCTCTGTTCATGAGGATGGATGAATGAAAGGAGCGATATATGGGATGAGATGATGGGTTTGGGGTTGGGAAAGCAATTGAAAAGCAATTAAGCGCCGAGTCGTCGTCGTGGTTGTTGTATTTTCGCAATTTCAATTCATGTTTCATTCTCTTCTGTTTGCACAGGCTGGCTGGAGCCGCTGCTGGATCGCATCGCACGGAACTCCACCACCGTCGTCTGTCCGGTCATCGATGTCATCAACGATGATACCTTGGAGTATCACTATCGCGACTCCAGCGGCGTCAATGTGGGCGGCTTTGATTGGAGTTTGCAGTTCAGCTGGCACGCAGTGCCCGAGCGCGAGAAGAAGCGCCACAATGTGAGTAGATTTTCAATTTTGAATATTATTGCATCCACCCGAATGCCAGCATGGAGCGGGATTAATACTGCCGCTAGTCTATCTTTTGGGGTTTGAGTTGTGTTTGTTTTTCCCCTATGGTTGCCATGGTTTTGCCATGGTTTTGCCATTGTGCGTAAACGTATCCCCGCGAAACGTTTGCCAAATGGGGTTATTCCCGCCGCTCCGTTTCCCACTCGGAATGCCAAAAACATGAAGCCGCTTAAAGCGCTCGAACGTGACTACAAAAACGGAATGTTTGCCGTAGAAAAGGGAGGTCCCTGCCCCTGTGCGCGGACACAGACACAGAAACGGAAACAACCATTCACACGTACAGGCCACAAAAGTGTCGTTCGCAATATGAGCCATTAGAACTAAGCAGATGAGCTGGCGGTGCAAATTCGGCAGGAACTTGAGATGAATTAGCGTTGAGGAAAAGTGAAAGTTGGCAGCGTTTTGTGGGTTGTTTATCTAGGAGCAATGTCTCGAGGGCAGAGCCAACAAAAAAATGGAACTATTTTCCAAATAGTTTAGTTGCAGGCAAAAGGAAAAGTTGTACGAAACATAAACAGATACTGCTGGGGCAGAGCGAAGTGCCATAAATGCTGCTTCTTTATATTGAGCAGAATCCAGAAGGAAAGTGTGTCAGCAGCCATAAACTCCTTCTAATATTAGTTGGAATTTATTGATTAACTTGTGTAAAGAGCCTTTAACACGCACTATGCCGGTCCCAGCGGATTTCGCATTGCCCATCCCGCATCCCGTTGCTGAGGCTAAAAGAAATGGCTTTTGCAATTTATGGCCGCCTGTGCGGGCCACGTACACACAGTTACCCATACTCTGACACGCAATTAGATACTTCAGCACACACACACACATACACACATACACACATACAGCATACAGAGTGGAAGAGGGAGACGGACAAAGTGCTCCACAAATGGACATTCGAAACTGTCGATGGGCTTTCCAGTCGCTGACAGCTGCTGCCTGTTCGTGTTTCCCTCCATCTGAATGAAGGGAAAATTCTCCTTGACTGACTCAGCCAAACCATTTTCCATTTTCCATTTGCCGCTTTTCACGTAGCAGCAGCAGCAGCAGCAGCTTCTCGCCGCATCCGTGACTTCGACACCTCCTCTTCTGTCTGCAGCCAGACAGACAGACTCCAGGATGCCTTTTTTCAATTTGCTTAACATTTTAATTAAAAGTTCATAATTACAACGTTTTCTCTCGCTGTCTGCCTGTTCTCTGTCTCTGTCTCTGTTTCTGACTCGGCTAATGGCGAATGGAGTGAATTGGCTCGAGTGTAAGCGATATTACGCATACGCCCAGTGGCATAAAGGCCACAAATTACAAACGGAAATGGAGATCAGCAGAAATGGAGCACGGAGGCAGGAGGCAGCAGCAGCACAGCCATGACACTGCAATTAAAAGCCAAAAATGTTAACAGCAATTTGTCACCACTGCTGGCAGGCGAACGAATGCCCTGCACAGAGAGGGTAGAACCCATTTAGGATCTTCGATTGCCAGTGAAGATTTCTGGCAGTAAACTGAGCGCAGATTATGCTCATATGATGAAGGGTATCATCCAATTCGACTGCCGGCAGCATCCATTCTTGCTGCTGCTTCTGTTTCTGATGTTGCCATTGCCGTTGCCGTTGCCGTTGCAGTGGCAGCAACGCATTCGGCTTTTTGCGGCGTAAATATCTGGCATAATTGTTTTTACAAGCGCCAAGGGGATTTATGAGAACATTGTTGCCGAAAAATCCTTGCTTGCACTGGCAAATTGTTGTTGCAGTTAGCTGCTTTCTGCCTCTGCCTCTGCCTGCTGCCTGCTGCTACTTCCTGGCGACATGCGGCGTGCAATTTGGTCTCCATCCTCGCCTCGCCAACCCATGCCTGGCCCCGCCCCAAGTTGCACTTAGCAGCTAAATCAAGTAAGGCACATCCTGTCTCCGCCGCTCGCCTCAGCCACCATTGGCAATTTGCCGACTCGCAAAAGGGGCCACCGAGGCAGTGAAACGGAAGCCCATAAATGTTGCTCCGTGTGCCACATGTGTGCCGACAATGATAATGGCTCAGCGAGGAAGATTTCTCTCCGTGTCTCTGTTGGTGTAAAGTTTTTGCCTGAAATGGAAAATATTTAAGCGAATGGGCAATGCTCTCGAACGCGCATTTGCCAGCATAAATCCTCAGCAATATCTTATGGTATCGCCCGTCAGCAGGTATATGGCATATCCTTCCTCATCCTCCTCCGCATGCTCCTGCCGCTGCACAGCTGTTGACAGTCCCAAAGCTGCTCGAATGAAAATCCCACCAACTTTGGATGTCTGTCCAAAGTTGCTTAACTTGTTACGAGTTGCCAGTCGAAAGGGGGAGGAGCAGCAGCAGCAGCAGCAGCAGCAGCACAAACAGAGCAACAGCCGCATCGCATAGGGAATCAAAAATATATATTCGTTATGGGCAATGCCATCGCCATCTCCTCAAAAGTTTTTCCTGCAGCGTTTGTTTGTGTTTTCTCGGGGGAGGTGAAAAGTTGAAATTTATTTTGTATTTTTTCATGAAAAATACTTCCTTTTGCTGCAAAAGCTAATGGATGCGGCAACTGGCACTCCCTGCCTGCCCTCCGCCTGCCGCCTCATTGAATCAATCAAATCCGATTTAACAACTGCAAATCCAGAGCAGTTAATCATTTTAAACAACTTAATGCAAGTGCTGAAAGTTTTTGCCTTTCCCCCCCCCCGAATGTTGTTTTTCCACCCGACTTTCCTTCGTGTTTGCTGCCTTCCGCCACCGGGAGTTTTCTTCTGCCATCTGCTCGAAATTGTGCTATTTTTGCAGCATTTATTTGAGAGCAACGGCAATGGGATTTAAATATTTAAGGAACGAACCAAACATCATAAAAACTAATTCGCTTCGTTTGCCGCCCGCCTCCGGCATGGTAATATTATGCCATATAACCAAACATGTAACTACATATGCTGCATGCATGTGTGTGTTTTTTTTTTTTGTATTCATTTGTTTAATCCTTCTAATTAATTATCTAGCTTTAATAATACTTTAAATATAATAATAATAATAATACTTCTTACACTAGTGGGTATACTCATACTAAGGGCCGTATTTTCTGGTGGGAGTGGGCGCCCGTCGCGCGCGGTACTGCCGCAAAGCATTGCTTCGCACGCTCGAAGGCTCCTACTCCGCCTCCTGTTTACGACTCCTCTCCAATGCTCTCAGCGTTCGCATAACGCTCGAGGCGAACTCTGCGGTCGCTTCCCATGTCCTTGGCTCGGCCAGCATGATCGGCACCAAGGTCTCGGAGGAGATCCTGGCGCCTACTGCTGTCTCCATGCGGTGTCGCTCGTGGTCGAACCGGTGGCATTCGAAGAGGACGTGCTGTGCATCCTCCACTATGCCGGTGCCGCACTCTGGGCACCAGTCCTCCGTCTCGTGGCCAAAGCGCTTGAGGTAGCTGCGGAAGCAGCCATGACCGCTAAGCGCTTGGGTGAGGTAAAAATCTACCCGGCCGTGCTTCCTCTCCATCCAGGCTTGCAGCTTCGGTATGAGGGTGTAAGTCCAGCGCCCCTTAGTTGACCTGTCCCACTGGTTCTGCCATCTGCTGATGCTGTTCCTCCTCGCTGCAGCCTTCAGCTCTGCTCTTGTCGCATCGCTTTCGCCCTGCACGGCTGTATGGATCTCCGCTCTCTCCCTTATTAGCTCCCTGAGTGGGACTTGCCCCGCAATGACTAGCGCGGCTTCGTCCGACACAGTCCGGAACGAGCACGCTATTCGTAGGGCACACAGCCTGTACGTCGCCTCAACGCCTCGCATGTAGGTCTTTACCTGAGCGGCTTTCGCCCACGCGGGCGCTGCGTACAGGATCTGCGACGTCACAACACTCGTCAGGAGCTTCCGCGTTGCCTGCTTCGGACCTCTGGTGTTGAGGAGCATCCGTGAGAGCGCTCCTGCGGTTCCGCTGGCCTTCCTCTGCACGTACTCCAAGTGCTCCTTGAAGGAGAGGCGAGTGTCGATGAGCACCCCGAGGTACTTGATTGCCCTCTGCGAGCGTATCGTGGTGCCACCGACCTGCACACTTGCAGTCTCTACAGCTTTCCGGCTCGATATGAGCACCGCCTCGGTCTTCTGCGCTGCCAGGTCCAATCCGGCGACCGTAAGCCACGACTCCACGGCTCGGACGGCCGCGTTGGCGAGCTCCTCCACTGCGGCAAGGTGCTTGGCCACCACTACTATGGCGACGTCATCCGCAAACCCCACCATGCTGGTGTTGGCTGGCATCGGGAGTCTCAGGACTCCGTCGTACATGGCGTTCCAGAGCAGGGGTCCCAAAACGGAGCCTTGAGGGACTCCGGCTGAGACTTTGTATGCCCTGGAACCCATACTGGTCTCGTACGTCAGCACCCTGTCGCTGAAGTAGCTACGCGCTATCCTCTGTAGGTAACCAGGGATGTTGAACCGCTGTAGGGCCTCTAGCGTGCGGCTCCAATCTGCCGAGTTAAAGGCGTTCCTTATGTCAAGTGTCACCACGAGACAGTAGGATTTGGATCCNCACGGCTCGGACGGCCGCGTTGGCGAGCTCCTCCACTGCGGCAAGGTGCTTGGCCACCACTACTATGGCGACGTCATCCGCAAACCCCACCATGCTGGTGTTGGCTGGCATCGGGAGTCTCAGGACTCCGTCGTACATGGCGTTCCAGAGCAGGGGTCCCAAAACGGAGCCTTGAGGGACTCCGGCTGAGACTTTGTATGCCCTGGAACCCATACTGGTCTCGTACGTCAGCACCCTGTCGCTGAAGTAGCTACGCGCTATCTTCTGTAGGTAACCAGGGATGTTGAACCGCTGTAGGGCCTCTAGCGTGCGGCTCCAATCTGCCGAGTTAAAGGCGTTCCTTATGTCAAGTGTCACCACGAGACAGTAGGATTTGGATCCTCCTCTCCATCTGGAGCCAGCGCATGCTTCCTCT